ATTGGAGTGGTCGAAGGAAACCCTTTGTCCAGGGGTGGACACACACACACACACACGCGACACATAAGAGCAAACTCTGTAAATATGATGTCAGCCATAAGAGCGCACAAATATGCAAGCGCACACAAGGAGCACACACACATAATATGAGAGTACTTTCGAGAGGGCACACATATACACCAAATATGTTTCTGCGTGCTCCTGCTGCTCCTACTAGCCTACCGCAAAGCGCTTCGCCTGCCACAAAATGCGCACTTCGAAGTTCACAGCAGTACTCCTGCTACAAAATCTGGACAACGAGGTTCACAAAGTACTGCGCCAACCACAAAATCTGGTCATGCCAAAACCACACCACGTTCAATCCGAGTAGACGTAACACCATAGTCTATAGTAACTATTGTGATGATTGACTGGTAGTGCAGACATCGGCGGCAATGCTCGGCATCATGAAACTTTCTGCCTAAACTGCCCGTAAGCATTCGAGCCCCCTTGCCCAAATATCCAGATCTACAGGGACAAATCAAACATATTGATATGTGATATATAGACGATATATATTATATATATAAGCTACAGTACTATATGATATACAAGTACCATAGTATCTGACACGGAACTTTTATTAAGTTTATTACTGCCCAAAAAAGGGCACTCTCTTGGTCTTGACACTGTACACTCAGCCGCGGAAGTCGCGGCATAGGGAAAGCTTGTGTTCCCCAATGGAAACGCGACGCCAGGAGGGGGGTCCCGGCATAGTCTTTGCAAAAACCAGCTTCCCGCATGGAAACGCAGTGATTTGGCAATGTTTTTGCTGTTTTCTGAAAGTCCTTCCCCAGCACAATCGTCATGTGTCCACAATTGTTCACAACAAGCTTCTGGCATAGAAACGCAATGATTTAGCAACGATGTTGATCTCGCTATGGTCCCCTGACATCTCTTTGGACCAGGCTCCTTACACTTTACTTAAGTCACACAAGTTGCAAAAAGGTATCGGAACAAGTTGCTGTTGCTGCCCTGTCTTCTCCACAGCCAAACGCGACATTGACATCGCCACGACTTCCATACATTCAAATCCCAATGGAAACGCTTCAAAAATAGAAAATCGCCACGACTTCAACATTTGACTGTATCCCTGATATTTGCAGTTGCAGAATCCCAGGCACGGAGGCAACTCTGCGCAGGTCCCGGGCGATGAGGACAAACGTTCAATATGCGTCCAAAGCGTGAGCAGGTTACGGTTGCCGGCCTGGCAGGGGGCGGAACTTCCAACCAGAGTACTGTGGAACGTCAGGTTGCTGTCCTGTCTTGACGAACAAACGCTGCTCATTGTAGACTATCAACCGCCCCAATAAACAGACTCAAGAAAACCTTGTGTTTCTGATGAATTCGAGTATATATATATATATATGCTCATCTTGATGAACAGTGGCGAATCAGTATGATTCAGTGATAGTGGAACCTCTTCTTCACAGCATCCGGTGGCCTCTTTGAGCTCAGCAAGAGTTTGCGAAAACTCCGTTTTCATCTCCACCACCAAGTTCTGCACAGACTGTGAGACCAGGAGAGCAGCCACTGCATCACCTGAAAGTTCACCAATCCACACCGATCCACCAAATTAACCATGTGCTTTCAGAAACTCTGGATGGATCCCAGTGGCTCTTGTTGATCTCACCACGGATCTTTAGCAGGCCCTGAACCTGGAACGACATCGTCACATCAATCGAGGCGATTGGAGGAGTGGTTGGGAAAGCTGGACCCCCAGCTGCTGCAAAGGAGACTCGGGCCAGTCATGAAACACTTTCCTGGCACCTAACTCTGGCATCAACCTGTGCTGGCGCACCAACTCGGCGATTTGAAGCGTGCCGCTGCCGTCTGCATCAATGATCTCCTTAGGACGGGTCTGGGTCAAAAAACACAAGCAGTGGCATCCGCAATAGATTGAAGCGACTGCCACGCCTTTAGAGTGCCTTCTACTGCACTGGGTCTACGGCTACAATGGGACAGCTTAAGTCTGCTGGCGGATGTTTTTCTTGCTCCAAGCTTCGAAGAGATTCGCTCGATCTGGAGGAAGATCCAAATCATCCATCAGGAGTTGCACTCCTCGGTCCTGCTCAACTCATTGTGTGCAAAAAGCGCTCTGCACCGGCTAGTCATTGCACCAAAAAGCATGGTTCAGTGAATTCATATTCAGCTTGACATCATTCAGTCTCTTGTGGAGTAGATCTTATAATGGACCCCACCCACAGCGCTCCTGAATGACCAGGAGGAACAAATCTTTGGTGATCGCGATCCCTTCATGCACATCATCATCAGTAAATAGTGCTCCTTCAGGACTTATGTCTAAACCTCAGCCATGATACCAAGGAGGGTTGCAAAGATCAGAGCAAAAGATTAGCTTGCAGCGCTTACACCAACTCCCAAAGCCACGACTTCATAGGACATGCAATGCAACATTAAACAGGACCATGTTGAGCCATGAGGCCAAACAGAAATGGGTTGCCGTAGGAAATGGTATAGGGCCACATGACTGATCACACAACAGCAAAATTACCCGATTCAGACGAAAGGTCAGGAATGACTTACTTGGGTGATCTTGGTGGGCTAGCAGGGGTAGAGGTGTCAATGTGTGTCAGGACAATTACTTCTATTCATGTCTAAATCAAGAATTCAATCAACAGCTGTGACTTTGTGTCGTGACACTGACTGCAAGACTTCCCAACTAGCGCTCCAAAAAGCCTGAGAGGTTCGATCTTAGATCATCCAGGTCATGGAAGAGGCGATATGCTGACGCAAAGCGCTTCCTTAGAAAGCAGTCCAACCACGGCGCAACAGCTAAAGGAGCATCACTCGGAGAGTATGCCACGTATGCCACGTATGCCACATATAACCAACTTATATAAACCTCAATATGCCTTCAATACTATGCCAAACACCGAATTCTCATATTGTGGTCTACCCTCGGCTGCGAACTCTTTATAACTTTGGACAGCAGTTTTGAGTTGGGTCCTTGTCTTTGGTAAGACGGTGGTAAGAACGGTAAGCGCATGATTTTCGTGACTTCGAGGTTTTGCGCTTTCGTTCGATCCCTTTGGTGCATCTCTTCGATCGCGCGTGCGTCTTCGTCATGTCGTGTCGCGAGAAACACACATGTTCCATCCAACTGAATAAATCGGTAACGCATGGAGACGCGTTTGGAAGGTCAACAAAATAACCAAAGTCCAGCATCCAGGTGATTCGATGTGCAAATGTGGATTAATTTGTCCAAATAAAAACATTCTCTGGTCCCCCCAAAACTGATTGTACTCATAGCCCTAAGATTATGCCTGTCAAAACTCCCGACCCATAAGTCACATGGCGGGCAAAAATGCATGCATGAGACAGAACCTTGAAAAACAGCCTATCCACCCCACCAAACATCCCCAAACCGTTTTCCACGACCGCATTTGTTCTGTTTTGGTCGAGCTGCAAGAGCTCCCGCGTGACTCTTGCTATGCGAATGGATTCGCGTGCCCATTGCTCTGCAGTGACAGCTTCATTTTCTTTCGCCGCCTTCATGGTTATCTCAACCTGAGGAACATAGAGTCATGGGCCATAGATCAGCAGGTGAAACAAAATGGTTGGTTTAAGAGATTGTGCGATGAACTCCATGCTCGTCTGGTTCGCGACAGTTTGTTTGCAACTGCGTACCCGTTTTGTTTGCAACTGCATTGGTTACTTCCCTGGCGGAACCCCTGTTTTGTGTGCGTCAACACTGCAGCAAACACGGAGGGGTAGGTCCAGATTTTTTTATGTATAGGCCATGTGGCATAAACTGCAAGGATCACGTTGTGGATCCCCATTGCAACGAGCATGTAGCTGGCCACATAGCTCAGAACGAATATCACACCATACCTCAAGCTCACTTGAAGAGGACGTCTATATTTACCAAAAAAATGCCCTTCCATTTACACCTGGAAGAGTGAACCAAACGCACCGTGCGGTGCGCTCCTCGGAAACAAAACGCCGCACTCAAACAATGCAGCGATTTGCTGGCGTCGCAAAACGACAGGTTTGTTTTTGAACAATCAACACTGGTTTTGCCACAGCTGCGCTCTGCACTGCACATTTGCTTTCCCAACTGAAGTTATTGCTGTTTGACCTTTTGATATCTTTTGGTCATATTTCAACCAACGAGGCATGTCAACCATACGGTGTGCGCTTGAACATTCCCAACAGTTCCGCCGGTGATGCAAATTTATCAATTGCTACATGATCTAAAATCTATATGTGCTTGGTAGGAACTTTGCAAGCAAAGAAGATCTAGCCGCAAACGTGGAGCCTGGAACCCTCAAGCTCTCAAACCCCTGGATCAACCCGCAGCCCTTATGCCGCCATGGTCTTCGAAGGCCGCGTTGGCCTGTGCACAAGTGAGCTCAGTCCCTCCCTCGAGGCGCGCAATCAACCAAGAGACAATGTCAACATGTCATGTCCTTTGACCCCTTCACGGACCGTCCAGTTTTCACATGTTTTCACTGGTTATGTTTTCTGTTGACTTGTGTCTCAGTGGACCACCGTCCAGCAGATCGTCGTCGGGGAGGTGTGCCTCAGGTGGTCCCGGATCCTGCTCCTCTTCGCAAGCCCATCAGCAACCATCTTTTCTCCGTCTAGGAACCGACTTGAATCGACTTGAGATTCCTGCGCTTGTCCCGTAGGCCAGCGATGTCGATGAGCCTGTCAACCGCGTCAACGAGCGTGCGTCCGTCGCCGGGTGGATCGGGATGGGTGACTGCCCAGAATGGGCCGCCACGTAGCCCGGTGCGAGCAACTCACCAAGCATTGCAGCCTATGAAGTTGCCCTCCTCGCGTCGAGGCTGGCTGCTTCGGCGGCTATATATGTGGACCTCAAAACACGTCGACGGCGAAAAGATCGCCGTGCGCCAAGGTCCTTGGTTGCAGACCAGCGCCACGTCGCTGAAGTTGATGGGCCTGACTTGATGACAGTGACAATCGGCTGTCGCCTTTACATACTTCGTGGTTGGCCTGTTGGAGATCGCCATGTGTGACGCTGAAGGAGGCTGGCGCCAGCGGCAAATCGAAGGTGTCAGTCCTGAACGTTCATAGTCCGGCTCAGGTTCATAATTGGGCTCAGCTGCTGGCTCCTCAGCCATGTTTTGTCGACCGCCACGTCCCTTGCTAAATCCTCCTCGGCCTCGTGGCTTGGGCTTGCGTGAGTGGGACTGAATGGCTGCATGGCGGCCAAGCCGTCGAGCAACTTCACCGCTCTGGTCTCTTCAGGGTAGTGAGGCTACTGAGGAAGTTGGGTGTCCATGAGCTTTCGCTCCATGACTTCTTTCTGGCAGAAGGTGAGCTCGAGGTCGTTGAGCAAAGTCATGATGCCCTCGGCATGCTCATCAGCCACTTCCTCCAGGTCTATAGGGATGCGTCCCAGTCAGAGCATCCACCGCCCTCAGCCTGCTCGTCGGGCGGCAAAAACTTCCCGTGTTATGGTCACCCGGCCCGGCGATAGTGTTCGTAGCAGAAGGGGTCACATTCTATGTCTCCGCCCACTTCGGCTTGGAGCCACCACCGCCACCACCAGCGCAAGATCCTCTTGAGCCGCGTCTGCAGCGTCCACTCGAAGCTCCACCGGAAGGTGTGCCGTCCTCGATGCCGATGGGGCCAGGGAGTTCCGACCAGCAGAGGCATCAAGTCGAGCTCCTCCTCCATCGCCAGGCGAGCCGCTGAAGTCGTAGCGCTCTGTCTGGCCTTCCTCCTCAAACTCATAGTCCTCATCGAAGGCGGCGCCAATGAAGCTCCTCAGCGCCACCATCCTAGAGGTCCTCGTCGAAGACCGCTTCCACGCGGCTGCTCAGGGCGCGATTGCGGAGAACCCGCAATCGCTACCAATGCAGACGTGGAGCCTGGAACCCTCAAGGTCTCAAACCCCTGGAGGCAATCAGTCTGAGCTCAGTCCCTCCCTCGAGGCGGGCAATCAACCAAGACATCATGTCAACATGTCACGTCCTTTGACCCTTCACGGACCGTCAGGTTTTCACTAGCTACATCCACTAGAAGACTCGTCTGAAGCAAAATAAACGACATCACATCTCTAGAAGGTGCAGTTGAAATTGATAAATGGAAGAGCTTTGAGTCTTAAGTCTTAAGACCTCTTGGCAAAAAGCCACAAAGAACTGGGGGCTGGATAGTAGTTCCTCCAAGCGGCTTTTCTGCTAACTTTTGGGGCAAGGGCTCCCCATCTTCATCAGTACACTCTCCTGTAGAGAAGCACCTGCAAGTCTACGCGCTTGCTATCAGAATGTGCAAAGTGAGTTGCGATTTCTCAAAGTGACTTCTCAAAAGTTGACAACAAGCCCTTCCTTTTGTCAGTGGCAGCTGTTTAGGCATGGCCAAAGAAGTCATACAAAGCATCTTGCACAAAACAGTAGCTAGACTCATACCAAAAGCTGCACAAACAATGTCTGGCAATGATCTCCAAAGAAACCATTCCTTAGGACAAACGGACAAACATGTTAGTGTCAATACTCCATCTCACTGAGTGGCTGCCCTGGCATCGCTCTCTCAGAAATGTCTCACAAGTAAGACTTCTCCCTGCCTGAAACATGTAAACATGGTGATTGGAAGCGTTTCGAAGTACTTGTCCAAGCCCATGTCTTTTGTTGTTTCGTAGGTCCCAAGGGTCATGGTCGCGAAGCCTAGCGCAAAATCGATTGCTTTTTGCACACCAGACTTGAACAGGGCTCTTTCAGCTCTCCCCGTTTTATGTTTTGTACTGACATTTACTTAATATACAACAAATTGTACAAAAACATGCTTCAACTTTGAATGCCTCTTGTCAAACTTCTCTCAACTTCACATGTTCGTTCCCCAACTCACTCAACGGCCTGAAATCACGTAGAGCACGCAAAAAAGCAATGAAAAGGCCAATGCCAACGTACCTTGGTCCCAGCGAGCAGTACCATTATACACCTCAAACCCAGCCCCTCAATAGATCTACGGTAATTAACAGTTGAATCTGCTATGAATATCACTTGCCATATGCTAGCATCTTCACTTGAAGCTTGAAGTCTTGCCATTTGCTAGTTCACTCATCGAATCATGGCGGTCACTCCGCAGCACCAAAGCTTTGCTTTCCGAATACATATCAGCTTGAAACCATTCACTTCCTTTGATGCAACTTGCAAAACTACCATGCGGGTCAATCCTCACCTGTGGCACTATGGATCATTCTTTGTGCAACAAGCAGCTGGAACTTGGCCATCCAGCTCCATCTGGCTCACAGGCCAAGACACGAATTCCAGCAACCAAGCCCTTCACCATCAACCGTAAATCTCTCCTTGGGACTTTGGTCGACCGAGCGACAAACACATTTACAGCCTCACCAGGTCCCTAGACCCAAAGTAGAGAGGGCCTCTGACTTGGGGAACCACAGTGCACAAATAAACTACCACTCAGACTCAACAGTCACTTATGCAATGGTCCCCTGGAGACACCCATCGTGGAGAGATACCTGAACTTTGGGCGAACTAAGAAAGTTCCAAACCGGAGAGTATTTGTTTACGTGTAACAAATGCTTTCTGAATCTCTCGTTTGACAAATAAACGTCTCCTGGATATTTTTGTAGGTTTTGCAGTTCAGTCCAAACGACTGTAGACTTTGCGCCACCCGCGCCTCTAAAGCTCACAAATGCCACCAGCCAAGTCTCATGAATTTCAGTCTAAAAACTTTAACGATCCGTACCAAGCGTATCAATCGGCAAAACCGGAGGAGGGATGTGCCAAAAATATCCTCGGCGGTGCTCAATGGTGAATATTGAAGCATCTCAAAGTTCAAGTGAGAGAGTAGTGATCACACGTAAGAAAGGGTAGGAGGCCATCGCTAGTAGGTTGGAGGCCATTCCTATATATAGTTGTTCTTCTTATTTATATATGTTTTCTTAATTACACGGACGCAATTTCCTCTTTACAAAGCACTGATGGTCTGTGACCAAGGCGGCACAAGGTCACAGGTCTGTTCCCAAATGCCGAGTCTGGTGTGCAGAGGGGCTTACTGCAATTATAGTGTTCGACCATTGGGTTTTGCTTGAGAGCTGCATCTAAGCTATCGCTACAGAAGAAAGCTGGAAAATCCTAGTGCAAGCAAAGCACTGACTCTGACAAATGGGTGGCTTGTGCCACAATGTCGACAACGCCAGTGGTGGCCAGCACTATGTCGAAATAATTCCAAAATCTCCTGAAAACGTCGATGGTCCATCACTCAGCATTGTTCGGACAACGTCACGGAGCCAGAATTTTATGTCAAATAAAATCAAAAAAACACCTGGAATGAAATCAAAAAACACCGATAGCTGGTCTTGGACTTTGCTCCAAGAATCTCTGGCCCACAAAAGAATCTCTTGCATTGCAGGAGATGCATCCGCAAACCAATCCTTAGAGGCCAACTTCGATCAACCAGAATTATGTTGAATTGACGGGATTGATAGAGCTGTCCGGCTGTCCATATAAAAGATTCAAACAGAAGTAGAGGATACAATAGGTCTAAATCGAACAACAGCAAACAAACAGATTCGAAGTCATGAGGTGATAAATAGTGATAAACATTCTCAACATCCAGTAAATCCCTATCCAAAACAAATCTGGAATGCTCCTCCACTTTTTCCCACTGAGAAGCTCCAAGATCAGGAAGCCAGCAAAGGTCATTTCCATGTAGGCCCATCCACTCCAGTCTGCCACAACATCATGAGTCTGAATACCAATCCTTTGAGATGCACAAGCTGCAAGTATCACAAAGCATAGGGCGCAACCATGTGCAACCAATCCCGTGTTAGCGCACACGCAACTTGGCCATGGTTGGAGCTCATAGTACTTTAAAAAGTATGCAGCACATGAATTTTCCAAGGTTGCCAAGCTTCATAATGCCATTGGCAATGATCAACATTGCAACAAAGGGCTCGATGTAGATCAAGGGATGCATCCTTGGACAAGCAACAAAATATGTTGTTGTATTGTAGGAATCAAATCAACGGGCCCACCCGTCCGGCCCGTCCGCGGGACAAATCAAAGCACGAATACAAAGATTTGCAGGTGATCTGCAGCAGTCTATGGCAGCTAAGCTTCGCACTGCAAGGCGTATGCATATGGCTTATGGGATGATAGGAAACATGAACCACACGTGTGATGTCTACGAAGTCATGAAACTGTGTTGGATTGTGTGGGTTTTGTGCCCAAAGAAAGCAAGGCCTTGGTGTCCAAGGCCAAACGTTCCCCTGCTCCTGAGACCGATATCAAACTTCAATTGGGCTTGCCATGCCTGGTCCACTTGATAAGAAGCTACTAGGGGCTCCTGGCCTTACTACTAGTAACAAGAAGCTATTGGGGGCACATACTCAAACGACACGTCGACCCTCTGGCCGAAACACGGCTCAGGAGGAGCAGCCAGGTCATTGATGCGAACCTCGGGCAGCTCCATGGTTCTGGGAAACGCCGCACATGCTCGAGTGACTCCGGTGTTGGGGCCCACATTTTGACAGCATGCCGCATGTTCTGCATGTCATTGATGACGGTCACCAGCAACTCTTGCACTACGCTGCAAAGAGAAGATGGAAAATTGGACAACTTTTGGACACCACCCCGCAGTTCAGGTTGAAACGTGACCAAAAGTGCTTCAACATCCAAAACATCTATAGTTGCTTGCTTGGTAAAATTGTTCTTTGACAATCTCACTCGCAGGGCTAGAACAGGTCGTCAATTTGCTGAGCTGACAAACCCGCACCCTTGGACTTGCTCAATTTGCACCAATGCTTCACACTCTTTCTGTTTTGGGTGCTTTCCCATATTGGTGCAATTCGATGAATACGCTTCTGCACTGTAGGGGCGATTCAACTGAGATCCGAACAAACGTCAACTCCGCCACTAGCCCTTAGCAGAGAGGTCCAACTGATCCAAAAGCAAAGAAAGCAGGACACTCTGCACGTATTTCACCTTCTGAATGATTCAGAGCTTCTGAAGCCGGGACAAAGGGAGGAACGTCTGATAAAGTACTGTGTCTGATTTGTTTTGTTCCAAACTGATCTGTACAATCTGTCATGTCACTTCCCTTTGTTGAAATTGGTTTTATCCATCCGTAATTTAGTTCTTGTAGTCTTTCTTGAGTGTTTGTCCTCTTCAGAAGATCTTCCTATTCTCAAGAGCGTTTATCTTGGTCAAGTATCTTCTATACTAATTCACGAAATGATGGCACAAGTAAAACGATTGAAATATGCCATCAAAGATCAAAGATTCAGTGCAAAATTGAGCCTTGACAATAGGAACACTAAAATGGCATACCAATACACTGAAGCAATGACAGGGCCGCTGTGAGAGCCGGGTTCTTTGAGAGTGCTGGGGTTGCATTAAAAAAAGGAAAGGAGAGGGAGGAAGGCAAGCAGGGAGAGAGGGAGGGAGGGGGAAGAAGGGAGTGAGGAGATGATATGCACTAACGCAGGAACAGCATATTGAAAGGGGAGGACCATAATATATAGATATATATATATATATACAACAATGGTGGGCCTGCTGCCAGAGAAGGGCACAAAGCAAAAGGGAAAGAAGAGGCAGGGAGTGAGGAAGGGAGAATCATGAAATGCATTGAGCATAGGAACGCTAAGATGGCACACCACAGAGAGAGAGAGATGGAGTTAGAGATAGAGTGAGAGAGTGAGATTGAGAGTGAGCTAGTCTCATATTAGAATCCAACAAATTGAATGAAGTCCAAGAGAAGGAGCAAAGGAAAGACACTATACAGACAGGAACGGACTAACTAAGGACGTCCTGGAACCCCTGGCAAATACTTGAAGTATGTCCACACAGGCTAAAGGGCATGAAAAGCATACTAAATAGAAAGGCAAGGACAAAGGCAGTTGAAAGGGCGCGAGGAAAGAGCGGTATGCATTGAACCTAGGAACGCTAAGATGGCACACCACACGTGAGGAAATGATATGCACTAACGCAGGAAGAGAGAGAGAGAGAGAGACCAGCAAACAGAGTACAACACCCTTAAGGCCTGGAACAAACAATAAGATGGCACACCAGCCAAACGGCTCTAGTAGATTACAATGCCGATCCCCCCAAGCATCAACTGACCACTATGATGGCACACATGGCCCTTTCAGATCCTCGATTATTTTAATCAAAAAGTATCTATATGCCATGTATTGTCTCGATTCCTGTGTGCCATCAAAATGTGATCCTGTATATATGTACGTATAACGTTCTTTAACACAACTTGCCCTGGTGATACAACATAGTATATTTCTTCTCTTCCTATCTCCCAAACAAACTCTTCCTAGTCTCAATAGGCTTTTCTCTTGCTTCACTAGCTTTTCTTCCTTACTCCTTCCATCCTCAAACGTGTTCTCGAAGAGTACTGGGACTCCAAGCATCAACCAAGAACAAGGTCAAATTAAAGGTGCCTACCAAGCAAACCTAGTAGATTGTACGAGTCTTCAATCCTTTTCTTGAATAACTAATCATCTAATCACTCTTCTCTGTAATTAGCTCCTCTTCTTCCTTTTCAGCTTTTCCATATCTCTATCAAGTGATTCTACCTCCTGAACTTCTTGTTCTGGGGAGTAGACAATGAATAGCACTGGTAATTGATTCTGGTACAGGTCCGGGTACAGGAGAAAAAAAAAGATCCCCAAACTTAAACTGCATATACAGTAATGGGAACAACTACAGAAGAAACGGACGACAATGCCTACCTACCAGGCTCACAAAACCAGCAGGACGATGGACAGCATGGATCACAAACTGACAGAAACAAACACCAATACACACAACCTAAAAGATTGCCCTCCTTGGGTTCTGACCCTTTTTTGCTTCTTTGTGTTGGTTCTCATATTTTGTAGCAGGTAATCTAGAAGCCTTTGGAAACAGCTCTGAAAACTGCACTTCCAAATGTCACTTTTTGAAAGCGCTGCCTTTGCTGGGTATTCCCCCCTTCCCTCGCAATCAAAATAATATTGTGTTCCCAATGCTTCGTAAGAACCTTGGGTGCAACCGGTATCAATCTTGGCAGGCGCAGGCCGGGTGAGAGTCGAATGGGACCGGTCCCTCAGAGACTGAACGAAGCCAATTTCAGGCAGAAATAGAAAGTCGCAACTACATCAGTCCTGGCATCTCTGGCCATCAGTTCTAGTAAGGCACTTGTTAATAGTAGCGATGCACTTGTTTCTAATAGCTTCTTGTTACTACTAGTAAGGCACTTGTTACTAGTAGAAAGTCGCAACTACATCAGTCCTGGCATCTTTGGCCATCAGTTCTAGTAAGGCACTTGTTACTAGTAGCGATGCACTTGTTTCTAATAGCTTCTTGTTACTACTAGTAAGGCACTTGTTACTA